ATCGTCAAGCCGATGAGATTCTTGCATAGGCATGACGCTCATTGCTCGGCGACAAGCAAAAATTGCAACTCGAATTATTTATTCGACTATAATTGATGACCAAAAGAAAACGATGGTTTGGCACATGACCACTTCTTGCTGTTTCACCATGACTCAACATGATTAGGTTCTCTGATGTGCGACTTATTTACGCTTGAATTGAAATTTGTTATGAGTGGAGGTGCTTTGATTACCTGAAAAACTTTTCAGCTCGAACTGCGCTTCGGCGTTGTGTGCATTCGGCGAGCGAGCGGGTGGACAAGTATCACTTTCTGTGCATGCAACTCCATTGAATTTTTTTAAGTCGCCAGGTCGTTGCAAAATAATAGCTTTAGCATTATGTTTTTCCAACTTTTCATGCTCGAAGCTCGTAAATCATCTAACATGAAACTATCGTAAGAGATTTTCTTTCGCAAATATAATCAACTTAGGCACTTTTTTTGTTACGGTGTTGTTCACTCGAACGGTGTGTTAGTGTAACGAGGCGATTGAAAGTTTTCATAAACATTACTTTTCGCTAGGAAATAAATCTCTTTCCAAATGATTAATCGATGAATTTAAATTGACTTGATTGGCTCTCAACTATCCCCAGCCTCTTCACCCCTTTCAGCGCAATGCAATCCGATGTCAGCCCAATATACACATCGACAAACAAGACTTACCGTGCAATTAGAAGAGCTTCAAATATCGAGTAGCTTCTAATGCCATTACCGGTACAACAAAGTTCCGCTGGGAATTTTCAGGCAAAACATTCTTTTAGATCAACATCCATTTACTCTCATCGGTTTACTCTTATTCACGTGCAATTGGATTAGCCGAATGAAAAACTACAAAAAACGCAATTTTTCCACTTATTTTGTCTCATGGGTTTATAAAATACCTCAAATGGTTTGGATTGTGTTGTAGTCACTTTAATGGCATCTATTTCAAAACATTTACAATACGGCAATTTGCATTTGCAATTCCAAATGCAATTGCGAAACAGAGTAAATAGCACTTTTTTCTCGTTTTCTAGACGTACAAGCGGTTCGTTTGCATTTTACCGCAAAATAATACAATCCAGTGTAATCTCGCCACTCTTGCCTTGCTTCTGCCGAAATTTCAAACGGTCGGAGAGTTACTTGGTTGTCGGCTGGCTGGCTGGCTGGCTGGCTGGCTGTTGACTGCACAAGCTCATTGTATAGGCATTTTGTGCCGTTTTGCGCTGTGTGTTAAACTTCTAATCTGGTGCGCTTTTTCGTGCCAAGCTCCCGTATTCTAATATTTTACGTTGGGCAACTGGGTTTTTCTCGTTCCAAAATTTTGGCTGCTAGTTGCGAAAGCCCATAAATTTTAACCCCATGTACCGGTGTGCGGTTTTGCCGACAATTCACTATCAACATTTATTTTTACATATTTTGTATATATACATAAATTCTTGGTGGCTGCATTTAATCGCAAGAATTTTAGGAATCTCTCGACTGCTAGAGAGACTTCCGCAAACTTAACGTGTTGTTGAATACGTGATGGAACAAAACCCATGTGAAGTGTTTGTGTTGAAGGATTGATCAACTTTAAATCGAGCTATTATTTCGGCCACTTTCAATGTAGCTTTAGCTTTCTTCGAATGCAGTTTTTTGAAGCTCCTCTATCTCCCTCTCGCTCGCTCGCTTTCTTTCTTCGTCAAGTTTTAATATTCATGCATCATCTTCTTTTTCTTATTTCACCAGAAATGGTTCTTGTTCTGGTTTAAAATGCATTAAGCAAATGTGGTTTTTACGCTATCGAGCATGGCAAATGTTGCAAAATATTATTTTCCACAATTTATTTCCACCTGACATTTGCTTGGCTGGGCGAGCGCAACGCAGAAATAACCAGCATTATGTTAATTTTGTTGAAGCAATCCGTTCGCTGTTTTCTCGGCTACGGAAATTCTTTGCATTTCATTTGCATTTGTATTTCGTTCGAGCTGCTTTTTCTTGCCAGAATTTTCATTGGAAAAGGAAGCGCCAATCTCGGTTGAAGTTTTCCAAATGCTGGAGGAGTAAAAACCACGGCAAAAAGTACGGGCAAGATCAACCAGCTGCAAAATGCCTTGGGTTATGAAGGAACGGATTTTCTAGGGAAATATGCACAGCAGCTCCATTGTGCATGAATTTGTCTCTTTTATTTTTTGAAAGGTGAAGGAGCTTCAGATTGACTTGATGGAATTTCGGTATTTTCTCGAAAGATAAATGGCGATGGTGATCATGAAGTGCAAGGCACTTAGTGGGACGGAGAGGAAAATCGTCGCTGATTTTAATACGCACATAGAGATATGGTTGCCAAGCGGAAGTAACACAGATTTAATCAACGTTTTTGCTCAACACACACAAAGTGAAGTCTTTCTATTCTTCTTAAAGCCAGACTTTTGATAAAATATTTATATCTAAGTGATGTGTGAGCATAATCCCCCCAAAGCTTTGTACCATAAAATGATTAAATTGTATCACCGTCGTTGTTTGGGAATTTGCTTTTTTGTTTTCTCTCTCTCTCTCCTTCTCCCATTAACCAATGTACCAAAAAAATACCTCATTTCCATTTTACATGCGAATTGCTCACGCTTGAATAGTTTGCAGCATGTGATGGCAGCTCCGCCCTCTTGTCGTACGATGAACGTTTCGATTCAATCGAAATTATTCACAACTTCATAGTTAAAAACCATTTAAAAGCTATTAGCCCCACTACATTTAAATGGTTTCGGTGATAAAAGTATAATGACGTTGATGCCGACCAAACGAGAGAGAGAGAGAGAGACAGAGAGGAAAAAAATCATCCGCAGGTGAACGCACACTAACAAACAGAAATTGTGATGTTTGTAGAAGACTGTGTGGTCAGTCAAAAGTAGAAAGAGAGGAGAAAAGAGCGGGAATGTACAGTTAAATAAATGAAGCTCTGTTTTTTCCTTTTGTTATTTTTAGTAAATCAAGCATCGGTGTGTGTGTGTTTTTTTTTGTATTCCGAAATTCAATTTTCTGCTTTGTTAGTCACAATTTATAATTCATTTTTGCTTTAATGTGAATGCGAACATTACTCTGGCGAATGCGCTGCTGCTATTGCTGTTGCCGTTGCACATGCCTCGCACTCATTTTCTCTTTTTACATTTTGGCCTGCATCTGGTTAATTTCCTCGAGTTTCCGAGCTATCAACGTTATTTTATTCCATTTTACATTTTGAGAGAAGAAAAAAAAAAACAACGATTGTGCAGAAGGAAATTTAATTTGTGCAGGTGGACGACTGTGACACGATCCACTGACGGATTCAATTTATGGTTTCGACACAACAACAAATAAAGTAAAATAATAAAACTGAAGTGGTCGAAAATCGGTCATTTCATTTCATAATTTTATAACATTATTGAAATGTTGGTCGCCATTTTTATTTCATTCCTTTCCATACACACACAGTCAACAAGAAGAAATATCAAAAGCTTATTTATAAATTATGATGGATTGGTGCAGCAAGTCAGAGAGAGAGAGAGAGAGAGAGAGAGAGAGAGAGAGAGAATTTGTGACAAATTGTATTTATTTCGCATATAATCTAATTTTTGGCGAGTGACTCTGTCAACAGCACTATTCAGATCGAGCACAATCTGATGAATATGAATACATTGTGTTCCTTCAGGGGGGATAAGCGTCACGAGAACAATGTGCAACGAACGTCAAATAAAATTCAGATTGAACCGATGAATATGCTACAAAATCAGATGAATTTTCATGGCGAGAAAAAAATCGATTTGCATGTTACTTTATCACATTTTACGCATTAAATTTGTCACTATTTTTTTATTGCAGTCGTCAAAAATTTTAAGCGTACATCGTTCATATATGCTAAGTTGAAATATTTCACGTTTCCAAGCGTAATTAGTTTTCGAGGAAACTAGCTATTTGCTTCGTCACTCCCCATTCAAATATACTGAGAAGTCATGGAGACTGAATTTAACAATCTGATTTGCATGACGGAATGCAGTTATTCATCTTGTTCACAAAAGAATAAAATAATGTAATAAACTTTTTGACGGCACTTAATATTTGAATTTCCAATTTGAATTTCTCGGTGCTGAGAACACTTTCCGTTGTTTAAGGTAGCTGAGGATAGGGATAGGGAGGGAGGCGAAAGAAGTGTTCGTTGCTGCATGTTTTCTATCAAAAATCCTTCCTTTTTCGTAGTTTGTGATGGATGCCGTATTAATAATTGTGCACGTAGCAATGTAATTTTCATGTTATCTGAATCGTTTTCCTTCGTTCCAAATGTTTGCGCCAGTCTCATTTTATCTGTTCCCTCTTTTTTCCACCACCCTCAAGCAAAAACTAATTTACTGAAAGAAATGCATTTGATTCGTTACAAGTAGCATGGAAAAAGAAACGCAATCATTTCTAATTTGTTTTCGTTTGCTTTTTTTCTTTATTTCTCTGTTTCTTTTCATGTAACGCCACTTAACATGGGCACGTCTGGTGATTCACACGCGCAATTGGCAATGTTGAACGCGTGCCTGGCTCTTGGCTCCTCGACTGCATCTCGTTCCGCTTCGTACGGGAATCTATGCTCTTCGGATGGAATAATTCGATTGCTTAATTCGCACCGAATCACCGACTTTAATTTAATGTGACATCGGCATCGGCAACGACAACAACAACAATAACAAATTTACACGTCTCGTAAAATGTGAATGGAAATGTGGCTCGATATCAACTACATGGTTTTCTGGCGACCTAACATCGGCAAACGCAACTTGCACCTTATTTTGTCTTTCTCGCGTATTGTCTCTCACCATCGATAAAACTGTGCTATCATTGCCGTTGCCACCGATGCTGCCGACGTTGCCATTGTTTCCGTCGATGAACCACGTTTTCGATATGGCGCGCTCTGGCTCCCGACCAACACATACACATAAAACAACAAAAAACACGATAAATGCCGAACAACATGGTTAAACTGAACAGATGCAGCAAGTGTTTTGGTGCACGTAATCAATGGTGAGTAGACGTTATACATTCTATAATATTCATTATAAACTCTATTTTGCATTTTTCTCTTTTCCAACCGAAGGTGAGACGCCTGCTGCTATGCAGTATGGTAACAGCAGTGCAAGTAGTCTATTTTTTCAGTCGATTTTTGGTGCATTCTTTGGACGTAATCGTAATACGGACACAATTCGCATGGGCAACGACGATCACCGCCAAATACATATTAACGCTATGGCCACTGATGATGCCGGTTCCATTGTTTCAGCATCGGAGCGTCGTCGGCTAAATGAAGCAGTTAGCACTGATGCAGCAACAGCCATTGCGCAAAAACACCGGCTACACATTGATTACAGCGACAGCATCACATCGTTGCCAATAAAAATGGCGCATCATGTGTACGAATTATTATCAGGTCAATTGCACATAATTATCCATACGATTTATAAACAATTTCCAAACACGATACTCTGCTGGATGTTCCATTACATTATTGGCACGGTGTCTATCCATTTGCTGTTGGCGACGAATAATAGTTGATTTTAAGGTAAGCAACAACGTAATTGAAAACTGAACGAAGGGTCAACGAAGACAAAGTACACAAACAGACAAACAAACACATACCAACAACAACAACCAATTCAAATACTATATACATATATATTCTATGACGATGGAAATGGTGGGAATGACGACGACGACGCCGGGAGGAGAGAAGAACACCGAGAACAAAATGATAAATGCAAACCAGAAGTGAATTTGGCACCGCTTTTGGAAATTTATTTGTGCAAATTGAACGTAAAATGCTCTGAAGAATAACTATGAATCAGCCGCTGGGCGGAGCAATTCTTAAGTTCAATTCGCGCATCGAAAGCTTAATAGAAATCATTGTGTGTTTTATTTTCTCTATTCTCTGTCTCTGGGTGCAAATGAATGTATTATGTGGATAAATGGAACGAAGCGGTATCTCATTTGCATTCGCGCACAAAATGTGCACCATTTGACACTTTGCAAGAATTATTCTTGGCTCGCGAATAAATTAGAAATCACTTGAAAATTTCACATTCAAACATACTCTAGTCTAATAAAACCTGCTCCACAGAATAACTACTAAACCGCCTAGAATTAGAAAAATATTTCATAAGTTTTCTTCTCTCTTCCTTTATTTCCGATATATTTTCGGCTGTTAGATTTTTTTCGACTTTGGACAAAAACAACATCTAGTTAAACTTTTTTATGCATTTGCCCCATGTTGGTCGTACCCATTTTCATATTATGAATTGGTTGATAGACTAGTTTATTTAGTTTATTTTTGTATACTATTTAAATTGTGGGCAAGTCGATCAGAATTTGTTGCGTGCATTTTTTCTGGTAGTGACGAAAATAAATCCAATTAAAATGTTCACTGTGTCGATTATCTCGTTGGAAGTCGAATCAAGGGCTTTGGAAACATAACTAATTTCGGACATTTTGACTAACCATTGGCTGGCTAAACGTGATTATCGCAAACAAAATTGCCAACCGTAGTTAACTTAAGTCAGAAAATCAAGGATTATCCGTCATGGTTATTTACCACATTTTCACTCGACTTGCGATTTGCCCAAAATATAAATAAATACGCCCAGAATTCTGATGGAATTGGCTAAAATGTTGAGTTTCGCTTTTCAGCTAAAATTGAATTTGAACTGTAAATAAACGAAAAAAAATGTTGATGTTTAAAATAAATCCTATAAATATACATAGAGAGAGCAGAGAGATGTGAATGGAAGGAATTTCCAATTAAGTGTATAAAAACTACAAGAACTCCTATAGTAACGTTGATAAAACTATTTGTATAAGGACACTGTATGGAAAAGAAATGTATTCGACATTTCACAGAAACCAGTAGGAATTGTTAATGTTCTTCATTGCGAAAATTCAAGTGGACATTGGATACGCACTCGGAAATTGGATCAGTATATATAAACAATGAAAAAATTTGCCTATGTTTTTATATGGAGCACATGTTTATGCTATATTTAAGCGACATCTTGACGCTGAACGCTGAACTATGAAACTTCTATATAAATATACTGCCAAATATCAATGACAGCAACCAATGACAGCAACAATAGAACGTATTTGTATTGCAAAATACTTCCACCTTGGAGATGGCGCCAAACCAAACGTCATTCTAGTCATTTTTCTCATTGATATAAATACCGATTAGCACAAATTAGATTTCGGCTCGACGTTATTTCACTGAAGAAACAAGAAAACAAACACACATTTTAATATTGACTGGAATTCACGTTCCCTTCTATTGCACTCACATCCATATGTTATTAAGTGTTTTTATTTATAGCTTAGATTTTAATGACTCAATACCAAATAATACCAATTTAAATTTATCTATCTGTGTCATTTAAAACCAATCACAACATATGAAAAGTAAAATAATATTCGATACATTAAAGCGACATCACACATACAAACAATAAAAATAAAAGAGTAAAAGATCATTTGGTTTATCCAAGGATGAATGGTGTTCAGAACATTCAAAGAGCAAGTGCGCGTCCTTGCCGAACAAAACAGAACAAAACCGAATCCAGCCACATTTTTTTTTGATTAATAGCTGGAGCTGAAATTGTATCTGTGCCATTAGTTGCAATGGAATTGTAAAAAGGCTGAACAAACAACGTCGATTTATCTATGTCAAAATCACGTATTTGTTTTTTTTTTGTTTTGCTTCTACCATTTCGTTGCACAAAATATTGAACAGCAAACCGGCAAACCAAACAACAAATAAAAATTGTATTAAAGGAAATGGTGTAAATCATTTATATTAATATCTATCCCATGAAAAAAAGTGCACCTGGTGTACAGCCATGTTTGCGCCATGTTTATATGGTGTACACCAGGTTTGAGCCGATCACATCACACACCGTACACCACACATCATACACCATTAAATGCCTATAAGACTAGGCGCAAATTGGTGTGAGCTGTCACAATGCTTTCAAACAACTTGAATTGCTACGTTGACGTTGCAACGACAATATTGTTGGGAATCACAATTCACATTTTTTTGTTTCGACCAATTCAAAATCATAATTTAGAAAACCTCTTAAGCCATTGATTGTGTGTATCATCCATTTGCTTTGCAGGATTTGGCAAATGCATAGCATTGTCAATATATTTATCAATATTTTTTACTGCCTTGTTATAGCCTTAGAAACAAATAGAACAGTATTTCAACAGATTGCTTTTTATTTTATGTTTTATTAAATTTCAATATTGTAGTTATATCGGTTTACTGGTCTGGATACATCCGAAAGATTCAAGTAAATAAGGATTATAATATTCAATATTCAAGTGCAATTTAATGTGATATTCATTAAACGATTTCTAGGGCTATAACAAGGCAGTAGAAAATACTGTAAAGCAAATGGATGATACACGCAATCAATGACACAAAACTATTTTTTAAATTATGATTGTGTCAAAAAAAATGTGCTTTGTAATTTCCAACAATATTGTCGTTGCAACGTCAACGCAGCAATTCAAGTTGTTTGAAAGCGTTGTGACAGCTCACACCAATTTGCGCCAAATTTGCGCCTAGTCTAATAGGCATTGAATGGTGTATGATGTGTGGTGTACGGTGTGTGGTGTGTGTGGATTGGGCGCAAATCTCGGCTCACACCTGGTGTACACCATATAAACATGGCTGTACACCAGGTGTACTTTTTTTCATGGGATGTAGTTTATGAAGATTAAGGGAGAAAACTGGAATATTTATCTATATAAAAGCCCATTCTTGTAATCATGCAAAGAGAGCTATTCAGTTATATATGTTTTTAATTGAATGTTTCAAAAATGTTTCTATTTCCATGTTATATAGAATGAAAAACGTTTCACATGAAAATCAAATCACATGGATTTTATACTACGTGATTGAAGTTTGGGGTCGGGATTAAAATGCGATCCATCTGAGCTGTGTCTCACTGGCTCGGCCGAAAGATGGTTGAGAGAGTCTTAAATTGTAAATAATAAATAACATGTACTCAATTGATCGACGGATTTTATGGTAAAATCAATCATTTTAAAGCATCTATAAATGGATGGGCATTTTGTGGTAAGGCTTTGATAGTGGCACACCAACCAAAAATTGTTTTCTTTTCCGAATTCTAATAAAATGTTTTTAGACAACTGCATGGCTACTGCAATGCAACATACAAACCAAAACAGCAACTCTAACACATTCTATTAATATTGATAATATTTTGTGCATCAAAACCAAATTCGATGGCGGTGAAAGTAGGGCAACAAAAGTTTTGCGAATCGAAGAAGATCAAAGTTTTCAATAGCATCATCAATTCGAACAAAAGCCAAAACTTTCGATTTGAAACCCAATTCGTATTAATCATCATTTTTCATGGAGTTCACACAATAAACAAAACAGAGAGAAAAATTCGAAATATTTTCACAATAAAATACTATCTTCGACTTAAGCGATCCACAATTTAGGCTGTGAGAATGAAAATGGCAATACAGGAATGAACATTCTGAAGCGCATCAAGAAAAAAAAATTCGCAAAAGTGAATCATGAGTTCTGAATACGCAAAAGTGAACCATGAACCTCCTATGCTGCCCATGTAAATTCATGTTTCACTTTTGCATATTCAGAACTCATGATTCATTTTTGCGAATTTTTTTTCTTGATGCGTTTCAGAATGTTTATTTCTGTATTGCCATTTTCATTCTCTCAGCCTCAATTATTACCAACCAAAAATAAAATGGTTCACTGAAACGAAATCCAACGTTTTATTTTCCGTACGTACGTATTTCCCTCAACTTTTTTAATGATGTCCTGGGAAATATGTGCAAATTGCAGGGAGTGTAACTCCGAGGAGGAGGAATGGTGGGGAGGTGAATGAGGAGGAGGAGGAGAGCGCTGAGGAGGTTCCTCCTCCTCACATGAGGAGGAAATAAAAATTACCAAAATTGAGGCATATAAATTTATTTTAAACATTTTAATTGATTTGGAACGAATGCCAATGATGAAAAGCTACGATCAAAATCAATAGAAGTGTTTAAAATGAATTTATATGCCTCAATTTTGGTAATTTTTATTTCCTCCTCATGTGAGGAGGAGGAACCTCCACAGCGCTATCCTCCTCCTCATTCACATCCTCACCATTCCTCTTCCTCGGAGTTAAACTCCCTGGCAAATTGAATGTTCGCATAGCGATTAAAATTTGGATGGCATCCCTAATTGGTCCAGCTCTGATTTTCTTGCCCACGGCCGCTCAAGTTACAATGGAACACATGCAAACGGCCGTACGGATGACGTAAATGAATGATTGTTCACTTTTTTTCTTTCACTCCCTCCAATCACTTCAGTTTCATTTTTTTATTACCAAAATTTCAATTGGATTTTCATGAGTTATTATGCAATGATAACATTCAATTCAATCAACAACTATGCAAACATCGACAACAACAAACAAACAAATTCAACCCAAAAACAAATACAAACAACATTCATTTATGTATTCACACGTATATAGACAAATAACGTTTCGAATAAAAATAACTACATAGCGTAAATGAAAAGTGTATTTTAATTGAGATACGATTCAATAATATTAACTCCCCCCATATTCAATAGCCGAAATAAACAAAAGAAAGAAATAAAACAATGGCAGCAACAGCAAGTTATGTGGAAAAAATCAACACATTTCCTCCCTGATAATAATAATAATAATGATATAAATGTGTGTATTGATTAAACAGACGAATAAAAGAAAATCACAATAATGAGTGCGAGAGAGAGAGAGAGAGAGAGAGCGAGCGAGCGAGAGCGAAAGATGAAAAACGAATGCATCTATGGACTAAAGGCATAAAAACGGATGATTTTTTTATTATTATACAATCATTTCTGTCAACAATTAAGATAAATGAACTCTACTTCGCATATGTATTTAAATAAAGAGCAAACTGTCAGAGATAAAAGATGGAAAATTGCTGAATGATGTCGTTGTGGAGTGAAAAAAAATACCATACCGAAGCACAACCAACAGACACACATATATTATGTGATTCGGTATGAATCGATTTGCAGTATGGAGAATTGATTGAGTAGCGACGAAAATTGTATGAAAATTTTCTAAATATATAAAATATCAACAACATTCTCTCATTCTATGCCATTTAAATAATAATACATAATGAATGAATGATGAAAAAAAATGAAACTGTGAAATGTAATTCGAAACCATTCATTTACATAATATGCTCTATATACTGCATATAATGACATCAAACAGAAGAATTTAAAACCAAAAAAAAACTTCAAAAAAAATAAAAATGAAACACTACATGTATTTAGTAACCCCATTAATTAAAATTTTAAATTAGATTTTTAAGAACCGCATCAACATTTCATCCAAGTATGAAGTATAACAGAAGAGAAAAACAGTACAGACAATTACCGTACATAATATAAAACAAAATCATTTAATCAGATTTCGTTCAATATCTATTGAATAAACTTAAAAATATGTATTAAACAAAAAAAAAAACACAAATGAGTTTTCATGTTATTCACTAGGTGATTTTTTTTCATCGAAGGAATCGATCGCCTCGATGCATTTTTTCATTACCGGATAATGTAGGTAAGTAGAGTAATCTGGGAATTATGTTGCGCCGATGGCGAATAAGTATATCAAAGCTACGAATGGAATTCATTTGAGTGAAAACAAAAATCATCAAGTACCTACATTTATGTGTAACGGCGGGAATATTTAACTCTTTTACATCGATAACATGTAAATGAAAAACTGTTATGCAAAACACCCGACACCGGATGATACACCGAATCCAAATAAAATAGTCAAACAGCACGGAACAAGCAATAAATCGTACATAAAACTCAAGCACAATTTTCAGATGGAAATTCTTGTAATCGAAAATGGGGTAAATACATTTGCACGACAAATGGACGTGGTGAATAGTGTTGGCCGTCGAACACTTTCGAACCCTTGTTCGTTCGTTCGACATGATGAAAAAAATATTTTTTGTTCGTTCGTTCCTTTAATGTCGAACGAACGAACGAACGAACAAAATACACTGCCAGCCTCCGGCCGTAGGGGCTTAATGTGAAACGTGCGTAGAACTCGGGCTGGAACCTAATTCGGGTGGGTCATAAGAACCGGGAATGAAAAATGATGGCCCTAATCTCGACTTACATCATTTCTCCCAATTTCGACTTTAAATCGATACACTAGAGGTACCATTCACAGTGTTGACCGGCATATAAGCTATATATCAATGGATAGGGCATATCAAGGCCCATCATCTGGCAAAGTTTCATCAAGGTCCAACACCCAGTTTTCCCGTAATAGGGCTTCAAAATTGAATTTCTAATGCTTTTCTCGAATTTTCTTTATTACGACTTCAAATCGATACACTAGAGGTACCCTTCACAGTGTTGACCGGCATATAAGCCATATAACATTTGATAAAGGATACTCGGGCCCACATTCTGGCACATTTTCATCAAGGTCCAACACCCAGTTTCCCCATAAAGAGGGTTAAAAGTTGAATTTTCAACGTTTTTTGGTAATAGAGCTTCATATCGATACACTAGAGGTACCCTAGAACCTCAACTATACCCCACTTTATATATACCGTTTGAAAGGTCTTGAGGTGCGCTATCCAAAACCGTTTGGAGTTCACCGGATATCTCCCCTAGATTCCTCACAATTGGGCTAGGCAGAAATTTCAAGTCACTTTTTCGCGAAATGACTGAGTTGCCGTGTGGGTCAATCTTGAAGGAAAATGCGGACTATCCCATCATCCCATATACCGTTGGAAAGGTATTTCGATTACCTATCTTTTTGTCATATAAGTTATGGCTTGGTTTATTAGTTTTAGCCCTCTTTTTGAGTGGAACGCACTTTTTTTTTACTATGAACAATCGATCCAGGGGGATCACCTAGGGGGGTAATCAAAAATACATCCCGAGGGACGGAGGCCACGAATCTACAGCCGAAATCAGAACCCAGATTGGTCCAGCCGTTTTCGCTAAAAGTGGTGCACAAATAAACAGACAAACAGACAAACAGACAAAACACGATCGAATAGCTTAATGTATTTTCACTACGTTTCACATTAAGCAAAATATGTTTTTTAAATTGTCGAACGAACGAACGAACAAAACATTTTTTTAAAATCATGTCGAACGAACGAACGAACGTTTGAAGCCATCACTAGTGGTGAATTACGCGCCCAGCAAAAGTCAAAAAATCATTGTTTCCGTTTGCCTCTCGCCCCAAAAGCACGTTAAACAAATATTGCGGAATCGAAATTGAAACTATTGTCGAGCATGATGATATCGTTTGAAATGCAGGCGAGCGTGGATTGAATATGGCCGTTATGTTATCATCATCGCATTGCTTAAGAAAGGCATTTCGAATCCGTGTAGTGTGGATGCTGGATCCATTTAGCCCGAGTTGATTTGGATCGCACCACGGAAAGCGAATTAAATAATGTCAATGTCATCTTATTGCGTGCGTGTTCGGTGTTCATTTTGGGATTAGAAAGCGAGAGAGAGAGAGAGAGAGAGAGAGGAAAGAGTTTCTGTCGTCCTTCGACACACCGGTGTTCTACGCATTGATACCGCCTGCACGTTTACATTTCGAAATTCAATCGATGCCAACTGATTCAATTCTGTGATTATTTGCGTGTTCTGTCGTTCGTTTCCTGCCATTTTCCATTTGTGTGCCCACTGTCATTTCTCATTTCAACGACAATCTTCGGGTTCCTTTTTTTGCACTACATGAAATGTAGAGCTACTAATCTGCTCTTTTTTCCTAATACTTTTTGAGTGTTGAAACAAATTATGGTGAATTATAATTTTATGCTCATATTTTTTATTTAATTTAAAACAGTGACAGTAACGACAAATAAGTGCATAATATCTCAAAGCGCCATTTTTATTATCAATTGATTATAATGACATTCATTTTTCGTATAATATTTTCTGAGTCTTGAACAGAATTAAAGTGATTTTAGATTCTATGCTGATATTATTTATTTAATTTAAACCAAAGGCAGTATATTTCAAAAAAGAAATAAAACCAAGACCTTGTAATTCATTTTGCAAATAAATATATTACTTCGAAGTTACTTTGATGAAATACATTTCATGTAGTGCGCCAAAAAATAGTTGGTTGTGAAACAACAAAATAGATTAAGTAACTTAAAAACTCAAGAACGCAGAGCGGAGCGAAGCGAAGCTCTGCGGTCTTGTTTTTCTCTCTCTCTCTCCCTCTCAGTTGCTCCCACACTCGCTCTCCACTTTTTTTCGTGTGCGGAATCCATTCGACGAACGTCAAGCAGCAAACCAGAAACCACCGATCATCTATCTTGGTAAAATTGTTTGTTTTTCTACGAAGTTCCTATCTCAACTCCGTGCCACGCTGCTCATAGCGTCGGTTCGCCCTCATCATTCTTGTTCACTCGCTCACTCACTCACTCACTCACTCATTCCACTAAATTCATTTTATTTTAAGCGCGTTCATTACGTTTCTTGTTACATTCCTTCATTTATTTTCCGTTCGTAGTTGGTGTTGTTGTTATTGGAGTGTGCTTTTGCGTCGCATTTCATCGCAAAACTGACTCCTTTTTTCCGTCTGCCAATTGCTTCAGTATTTCGGGAATATATTACATTCTTTTGATTTCTTCTTCAGGACATTCGTCATTCCTTTTCATCATTGCTGCTGCTGCTGACTGCGGCTATATTTATTTTGTCTTTCTTTTTTCTCTCTCGCCATGCTGTGGTTTGCGCTAACCCGAACGCCTGTTTCTATTTTATCGCATTTGACACACGCTGCCATCCCAACGCACACACAACACCATTGACCATTAATCACGTGCAATAATCTTGCAGGCTTACTTCTTCGCCTCTTTTCGATGTCGATTGGTGACAACGGTAAGAAAACGAAAAAGACGTTGCCAACGACAAACAAAGGTAGGTCGACCCGCCAAGTGCCTTCAGCACAAATACAGTGCATATTTCATAAGATTTTCACGTTGGCATCTGTCGATTTGACCGCATATCAGTATTCATATCGGGTACGCGTGCAAAATTTACATTGTAAAATTATCCATTATGTGAGCTTGCTTGGTTCGCGTCACACGACACATAGCAATGTCAGTACTTTGCCTGCCAAACATATGTGTGTGTGTGTATGTGCAGATAAAAGAACAGGCATCATATATTTGGTACGCGCTTGACGGAAGATATATGAGTGAGTAAACAGTGTTTGTTCTTCTTTTTTTTTACTCTGTACGGCATTCTGTAAACATGCAGGTATTATGATTGGAAACGTGGGCCATTGTTTATGGATACTACTTGAAATGTTCACTTTCGGTTGCCACATAAATGCCAAACAGAAAAAAGCCGATGAAAAATTTCTCCAAAAACAGCAATAAATCAAACAACGACACCGACGACGGTGATAATGCATCAGCTCGTTTGATTGATTTAGATCTCATATGAGTAATTATTTGAGATAATAAAGATTGATACATACCCACAACCTGCCGTTACATAAATCTCTTTGGGCACACAAAGGTGGCGGCGCCTTTGAGCCATATTCCAATACATCAAAATTAAATGGCTTTCAAAGCACTTCATTGATTATAAGTAGCACACAAAATTAGACTCACTGGCTCGCTTTTTAGGCTCCAATGAATATCATTGGCACACAATGCGCCTTCATCATACTTATTTGCATAGTTTCACATGATAAAAGTGATAAATCTAACATCAAATCAAACAAATATTTGATAAGTCTGTTCAAATAAGCGTTTTCATCGTTTGCTTTTTGGCACTGAGACTGGGGTATTTGTAGAATGCGTAGAATTTACGGCTTTTGCAAGACTATTGAGCACATGTATTCATTAAGTCAGACGCTTTTGTTAAGCTTATGCGATTCGAGTTTATTGTGTGTATGTGTATAGACATTATGATTTATTCATTGACATTTGTGAATGGGTGAAAAACAAAAGTGAAATTGATCAATTTAAGTCGATTCGATTCGGTTCCATTCGATTCCATTCAAAATGCATCCCAGTTAAATGCATTTTAATCATAATTGAATCGGATCGCCCTAATCATGGAATGATTTTTACAGCAACCACAATAGATTACTTCAGAATCATGATTGGCCAAAATCGTGTTTCAAACATTTTTTTTTCCCAAAACATCGAAACATAATTCGACTTCTAGGGTGTGTGAGTTCGACTGTTTTCTATTTTTGGATTTTGTTGTGCGGAAATTTATTCAATTTGGCATCGTATTCAAAAGCAGCTTCATTTCAAATCAAAATCTATTACTTGTTAGAACATTTTCCAGCGTTTTCAGTCGTATGTGTTGGAAAAACATCCAGTCTACAGTGGAAATAATCCAATGTCAATAATTTCTCGTTCATGTATCGAGAAAATTGAAGGCAC